CCCAGTTACTATTAATTTAGTACCACGTTTTTACGTTGATAGTACTTTTCTTTATTTAAAGACTATAAATATTAAACTAAATAAAAAAAAAAAAGTTAATCTTTTAGGAAAGAAGACAAGAGTTTATTTTAATAAAAAACTAAAATAATATGAATATTTTTTTATCAAATATAAACATTTTTTTATATAATATAATATTATTTTTAATACTCACAATTATAATTGCAGTAATAACATTAATTGAAAGAAAAGTTCTATCAATTATTCAGCGCAGAGTAGGTCCTAATTATATAGGTTACAAAGGTCGTCTTCAATTTATTGCGGACGCTCTAAAATTATTAATGAAGCAAATAGTTGTTTTAAATAAAATTAATAAGTTTTTATTTTTAATATTCCCCAGTTTAGTACTAATTGTTTGTTATCTTTTTTGAATTAATTTAATATGGGGTCCTAATTTGAGCTTATTTGAAATCGAATATAATATCCTATTCATGGCTGTTCTATCCACTGCATTTACTATGTTACTATTTTTAGTCGGCTGAGCCAGTAAGAATAAATATTCTATATTAGCTTCAAATAGAATTATAATAATTAGTTTTAATTTAGAGATTTTTTTAAATTTTATCTTTGTATTTCTAATAATTTTTTATGAATCCTTTTCGTTTTACCAGGCAGTACAATTACAGGAGTCTTTAATTAATGGCTTTTTCTTAACACTACCTATAATGCCAATAATTATAATTACATTTTTAATTGAAACGGGCAGAATTCCATTTGATCTGGGTGAGTCTGAATCTGAACTTATAGCCGGTCATACTACTGAACTTGGTGGATTTTTTTTTGCATTATTTTATTTAGGGGAGTACTTTCATCTATATTGTTTTTCTGTTACTTATGTATTGTTATTCTTTAATGGGTGAAATTAAATGAATTTTTTAAATTTTATTAGCGTATTATCATTTTTTAAATTAATTCCACTGATTTTAAGCGTATTTATACTAAATTCATTTTTACAAGATACATCAACTAGAAAAAAATTTCTTTCATTTTTGGTAATTTTTATATTATTCGTAATTCTTGGTCTATTTTTTAGCTTAGACGGTATTATATTATTATTTATTATTAGTGAATTTGCTGTTTTACTTATTTTTTTAATTATATTTTCACAACTAACCTCCTTCTCAACACAAACACCAAAAAAAAAAGGATTTTTATCTATTTTATTTCTTACTTTACTAAACATCTCCACGTACGATGCTAATATAATATTATACAAGTCTTTTTACAGTCAGCAAACCCATCAATTAAACGACTTTTTTTATTTTTTTAATTATTATTTTGAAAAACAGGCACTCTTAACTGTCTTTATTATAATTTTAATAACAGTTTATAGTTTATTTTTTATTATATTATATTTTATGCTAAAAAGTATACAGAATTCCGAAATGACTAAAAATTCAAAAGTGTCTATTTTACGAAAACAAAATATTTTAAAACAAAGCGTATATAATACTAAAACTAGATTTTTTCAAAAATAAATGTTTCAAAAAAATTCATTTTCAGTGCCCAGTGACTCTAGTGGAATCTTATTAGTAAAAGTTATACAGACTCGAAAATGTAACACTACTCGACATGCTAAAGAAGAGAGATTTCTTCGTGTTGTCGTTAGAAACACTAAAACATCACTAAATAAAATTAAAAAAAAAAAAAAAAAAAAAAATCAA